TGCTAATCACCTCAAGGAGTCAGAGGGTTAAATTTCTGCCTTTCCACTTCTTTTGTACAGGACTTGCAACTCATGAGCTTCACTTCACAATCATCAGGGAAGAGTTTAAACCAAATCAGAAGAGACCTTGTGAGATGTGTGGTCAAGTTGGTGAGAGTTTCTCTAAGTCCTGTTGTTATTATCTCAGATGTGATTTTTAATCTACAACATCTACAGACAGCACTATTCCAAATTCACTGATCAGAGACATCCCGATAAAAATATCTTTATTTTTACCACAATCAAGTTGTGGCAGTTGCCTTTTACTGAGTTGAAAGAGCCAGTTTATTTTATTATCTTACACCTGTGTTGAATGGTCAGTTAAATTGAAACCACTCCTCCATTATGTACCATCTGAAGCACTTTTCCAATAAGGATTGTCTTGTTTCTATTTTAACCCCGTTTTCTGTGGTCACAGGTCATGTTATGGATGAATGTATGGGTCTTCCAAAAGAAAAACAAGGGGAGGTGAGTTTTGTTTTGAAATATGTATCAACTTAATCCTTTAAGTGACCAAGACAGAATTTCTCCTTACACTATCAATACAATATCAAACAGACAAGTAATGAGAATGATGAAAAATATCAATTAGGGGATTATTGGTTGATCCAATTCCAAATTCTCCAAACTAACATCAAATGAATTCTATGGCAGACAGTAAGGAGAATTGCTAATGAGATCTTGGAAGGTAAAGGGTTAAGCAGTTCACACTGTAGGAGCATAAGGGAGACACTGTCACAGTAGGTGACATGGATGTCAGTCTAACCTATTATGACTGCAACTGAGAAGTCCTTGATTGTTAAACAAAATTCTCCTTGTCAGCACCTTAGGAAATGTATGGAAAACAGTTTGGAGAATATACATACTGATGTTAGGGTGTAAATTATGAAAACAAATACATGCATTATGTTGTTTGACGTTTTTAACGCAGTTTGATGAGCTCCCTACACCTGTGGCTCAAGAAGTAGAGTTTATTTTCATCAGGCTGAACGTTTTACGGGAGGTAAGATAAACTATTATTTGAATAAAGAAAAAAAATTAACATAAATGACAAGGTTTCAGTGATTGCATGGTTATGAGTATTAGTGATAGCAAATTGATAATCAGGAGTGAAAGTTAAAATCGTTATTCACTTTAACTTGCTTCAAATTTGCTTTATAGTACCTCGAGCGTGAATTGAGAATGGAAGGCCTTCCTTTCCCGTATAGCTTTGAGGTTAGTTAAGCTGAGCATGAATTTGTCATCTTCAGAGAACCAGGCGCAGTTTTTTATGGACAAGCAAAATCACGAGAAAAGAAATGTTGAAAATTAAACCAAGAAAAAGTCATTATCCGCTCTAGCTGCCAGTGAATGAATTGTTTTCAGTAAAAAAAGCAAAGCGCCTGAAGTCCGAGAAAACACGAGTCACCAAGGCGCGATAAATCTGATTTGTTCAGTAATAATATA